CAAGGTTTTGCACGAATACTCGTTCCGGAGAATTCTAACTGATGCCATCCTCACCGATTCCGAGAACTTCTCTCTGTGGTGTATACTGATTGTCATTGATTTGAATATTAATACTTTTAAATTCATAGTTTAAGACTTCTTCTAGCAAAATATCAGTTTCATTTCGTGAATAAAATTCTTCGTATGATTCCAAATTTAACTCTGCGTCAGTTAAATCTATCATATTCGCTTTATCATCCAGTGACAATTCTAAATGAAATAAAAATACGTAGCTTTCTTAAATAGTAGGACTTATCTAAAACTACATTAACGAAATGATTTCTTCACTCTGATACAATAGCAAGAAAGTTTCGTTCATGTGGGTAAAAATAAACTCATGTTATCATGAAAAGTTAAGTGCTGCATTGCTGCATCGGAAAAGTACCTGATTGCGTTATTGTGGTATGATAGGAGTAATGGAAAATTCGTTCTAAAATCCAGATAATCACTGAAAACATATTTGAAAGTATTGTTATTTTCAGGTTTGGTATTAACCCTTTGCGGCACAGTGTGTCCGCTCTGAACACACCTAAAAATTTCCTTCTGTACGCCCAAAAAAATTAAACACAATTGTTCAACACAAACTAGTCCATATATTTTAGCCATGTTTAGTTTTTTAAGACCCTCATTTTTCAAACAAATCTTCCAGATTTTTTTAGGGTATAAAAGGAATTGTTTGAGAAGAATTTTTTATGTTATTTTTTTGGCTGTATGCTAATCTCCTTGTTCTATATTAGTTTTAAATTTTTACCCTGAAATCTTGCTTAAAATTAAACGGCGAACCGTAGATGTGCCTGGACCGGGCTCACCGATAATCTAGAACAACTGAGAGTCTGTATTCTTTGTTCCTCAGCATCTCATCGGTCAGTTCATTCACAACAATGCTCGTTTCAGCAGTCTTTTCGAAGCTCTATTCAATCAGTGCGCCCACTTTGCCCACTTTGGGCACACCCACAGAATTAAAACGATGAGTGTTATCTTCACAAAATTTTACTTGTGTACTCCTCTAGGCCTAATTAGACTGCCTACCTTTTTTTTTTTTTTTTTTTTTTTTTTTTTTTTTTTTTTTTTTTTTTTTTTTTTTTTTTTTTTTTTTTTAAATCAAAATTCCGATTTTGAAAGGTAGCGTGCCGGAAAGGGTTAAACCTGCTTCCAGTTCATTTACACAAAGCATATTTTCTCTTCACACCGTACATTTAAATAGATAATGTATTTTTGTTAAAACTGAGTTATTAACTTCATTGGCATAACTTCAGATTTAAATAGATAATGTATTTTTGTTAAAACTGAGTTATTAACTTCATTGGCATAAATTCAGATTCGAGATACATTCTTCCAGCTAAAGATTTTTCGAAATAAAGTTAACACATTTTGAACAATCAGTTTAATAAAATTTTAAATAAAATAAATTGAACTTTTTCTACACTTCAAGGAAAGCAAAACTCCGATCAGCGAAGTATTATGAAATTAATCTATTAAATTAGTCTACTAAACATATTCAATCCATTTCTGTTCAAACTTTACAGTTGTTATTGCTTATTCGATTGAAACATGAGACCTTCGAGATGTTTGAGATAATCTTGGTATGCATATCTCGTAATCAATTAATTGATCATTTTAGAACTTTGCACTAAGAAAAAAGGATACATCACCGATACAAAAACAGCTTAAACCATCAACCAAATTTTCGACCAAAATCACCACAATGTCAGGTAATGGTGGTGTATTTAATTATGGCAAAGCACACTAGGGCTATCTGCCTAAGAGGAGGGATGCCTTCGTGGAGGACTTTCTAAGGGAAACTGGCTCGTATACACGTTACACATGGGAGAAACCACGAAAACGCCCATGCATCCAGCCCGTTCGCGGGATTCGAACCTCGGACCGAACTACCAGTGTTCAGCGACTTTACTGCTCGGCCGCTGGTGGGCCTATGTCAAGTAATGGTTGCAAGTACCAAAACAGTTAATTATACTGATATCATTGTAGATTATAAACTTACAGTACACGTACAGTAAAAGTTGCGTTTAATCGAACTTAAGTAGTTCTGTTTTGGCCAAATTAAAGAAATGTAACTTAATGTTTCCTGCAGAGGTATTATCATAAACTAATATTCATATCTAATTCTTAACTAATATTAATATCTAATTCTTAACTAATATTAATTCTCGAAAGTCAAATTTGAATCTCGAAACACGAAATTCTTGATATGGTGATCTTTCTCGAATCGCTTTAAAATTATTTTTTCTGCCTTTCTTTCTTGATAAACCAGCGGTAGAGCGGTTAAGTCGCTGAACTCTGGTAGTTCAACCTGGGTTGGATTTCAGGCGTACAGGCTGGCTGCATGGGAAATTTCGGAGTTTATTCCATATGTAACGCGGATACCATCCAGAAAGCCCTCCATAAAGGCATTCTTCCCAGTAGGAAGATAGCCTTAGCGTTTTTTGCTGTAATCAAATAAACCAAGTCGAAAGCTGACAGTATTTCTATGCCTCTAATAATAATAATATCTGCATTGTTTCCCTTTGGAATAAACCGAAAATTAACTGTTTCTTGCATTTTATTGTATGTTTTAAAGCATTTAATACACTAATTGCTGAACTATTTATTACACTATTTATTATTGAATATTAGTATGCATAATAGTTTAAAATAAACTTTATTTTAAAAAGCATCAAAATTTATTTTTAATGTACAAAATTATTTTTTGACTACGCAGTTGCTTTCCCTGTTTAAAAATTGTCTTAATGCTTAAATCTATTTTCAACAATATGATGGTTAAAATGAAAAGTATTACTCTTGCGCAAATTTTACGTTATCTAATAACCTAATTTAGCCAATATAGTTAGATAATCTTATTTTCGAAAAACAAATTTCCGGCGATGTAGCAGACTTCTCTAATTTGTTCATCAAAAATTGTTAAGGAGACACAAGGCTGCCAAGAATTTGCTTATTTTTCAAGTCCTCAAATATGTTGCTGATTAGTTGCTAAAACAGTTTAAAGAGAAATTTAATCACCTTCGGTCATATTTTCAACCTTTTTCATTTTTCAGTTGTTGAAAATTTCCAAAGTTTTTAAAATTCTAACTAAACCTGTAGTTAAAATAATTCAAGAAATGGGATTTTAACTGCAATTAAAAGCAAAATTTCACAATATATTACTTTCTATTGAATAATAAAAAAATTCTAAAATTCTCTTAATCACCAATTTATTTCTCACTGATTTTTAGTCGCTGTTTTCTTCGATTTTCTCTTCAACTCATTTTCCGTTGAATTCCTCATGCAAAAGGAAAGAAAGCCCCCACGGTTCATCCGTTGTAGCAGTGTGAAAAATAAATAGGCAACGGGTGCTTAGAAAATTACTTAATAAAAGCCTACATGACGAATGTCCATTTAAAAATGCCCCCCCGCCTGGAATAAAAATAGGATACTTCAGAAAAATTTTGCAAAATGTTTACAGAATAATTTAAAAAACAGAAGATGATAAAATTCTGATCTTCATTAATTGCATTTTCGCCATTTTAGTCCCCCCAGAAAGTACTTTGAAAAAATATATAAAATCTGAAAGGGTTCAGAATCACCCAAAGGGGCTGTTTTTAAAGTTTAGTATGGTTTATTAGTACAGATTATTTAGAAGGAAATAAATGGGCTATTCCACTTTAGCCAAAGAAATAGCCCAGGTGGAATAGTGTCAGATTAAAATAATGAATGAAAATATTAAAAACATACAAATGCTTGAATTAAAGATATCCATAAAGCTCGTTATATCAAGTTTTCATGCAGTCTGAGAGTTGCTGTAGCTGTATAAAATTACATTTAGTATATAGAAAATTGGACAGGATCAGAATGTTTATTCATTATATCCGAAGTTCATTCTAACCTGGGTTCAGGGTTTACTGTAATTCGACCCGAGTTCAAATCCAAGCTAATGAGCTGGTGTTTGAGGCCAATATTACACAAAAAGTCTGTCCCGCACGAAAGCCATCTTTCCTTTTATTTTAATAGCCTTCTTGTGATCGTGTGATATTTAAATAACTCAACCTAACTAATCTAGGTAATTGAAACGCCCTAGAGAAGTAAAACTATCCACTTTGAGAAGCACTGTTGTTAAGGAAAAGTTGATCTTTTTACGGCTGTTAAAAAAACTAACAGATCAATTCTAATGTGGAATTTTTTAACCCAAAGGGACGTTAGCCTAGAAGGGTTATTAATCTCAAAACGGCATTTTGCGTCGAATCACTATTCAAATTGTCAGCAAATATTATCGCCCTGAATTGTATTTAAAGAAATTAAATAATGAAGAATCTGCAGGAAGTTATGTATGTTTCTCGGTAAAAATTATGTATTTAAAAATTTTCTGGTAATGAACTGGTTATGTGAAAATTTCTTTTCACGTAAGTCAACTGTCTTACTTGTTAAAAAGTGGTATCTGAAATTTATTTGAGAATTTTGCCCACATAATAATATTGCCAACAATATAATTTTAAACTGCTGAGAGAATATTAAACTAATGGGCAGTATAAATCAGCTTTTACTTAAACTGAATTAAAACGACTACATAATGAGATGCATTCCGCAAAAGAAAACGAGGAAGAGTAACCTTTTAAGTACGTTAGAGTACATAAGTCACGTGATATCCGAGATCATCTAACTTGTTTGTTTACCTTAACTATACATAAGTCACGCAATATCTGAGGTCATCGGAATGGGTCTCATTCTTTTATATCTGATCTGTGTGATTTATCTGTTATAAATATGTATTTCATTTATGTTTCGAAATTTTTACCCTCTTATTTTTGTTTTACTTACATTATTTTTTTCCACTATTGAGAAACTGATCGACCCATACGAACTGCTATACATGCAAAGTTTAAACACCTTAGAAAATAAACTTTTAATAACTGTACTTTAGCTTTTGTCCTTATTATTTATGATTAACCTTTTTTTTTTCATATTTCCAGTGACAATTACCTGGGGGGTGTCCGTTTTGAGAGACAGCCTCCAGAGGACCTCAGAAAAAGTAATTTCTTTTCCTTCGAGGTAAGTTTAGAGGACCTAAACAGAGAACAGATCCTGATCGAAGAAGCTCATTTTATCGATTTCGTGAATGGCCCTGAGGTATGTCTTATCGATTTTATTTTACTACAGAAAATAGAATTTAAATACCGAAACGCGCCATGCATGTGATTAATTCTTCTTCGGGGTAAACAGAAATATTTACGTCACAGTTGCCTGCAAACTTCTCCCTCATTCCCTCATTCTAAAAATATAAAATGGCAAATTACTTCCCGTGATTTTCCCTTTAGCTGTTCTCAAATGTGATTTAGGAAACTTATGAAATTTCGTGTTACATTCATATAATCGACATGCCGGTCCTATGAATAACATTCCGGTTCTAAGAAATGCACTATACGTAGAACTAACACTGCGTAGAAACTATGCGACGTACAACCGATATCAACATATGATCGACAATATAAGATAGAAATTTTGATAACAATGTAACAAAGCTTAAGAGGATTAGTACAGATTTATTACACTCCGAGAGATATCACAGGCACACATAGCGGCGACTCCAGTGTACAGAAAGCCGCTGGTGGCATACAATGATCGTTGCATTACATAGCTAAGAATTATAATTAAAACATCACATAATCAACAGGGAAAGTATTTAATTAAGTTATTTGGCTAAGATACCTATATAGGATAGACACTAGTATAGAATCGAAACTGGATTTGGGGTTTCTTGTCGGAAGAGGGTGTAGAGACATTAGGTAATTTGGAAGCAAGAGAGATTGAAAAAGTAGCAATCGCCTTCGCCGGGAATCGAACCACGGACCTCTGGAATACCGGCCCAGCGTGCAGAACCACTACACCACGAAGGCACGCTAGGAAAGCGGGAGAAATACCTTATAAGGGGTTGTCCTTTGAATGCAATATCGGACCTATGCCGCGGTCCCCGATCTTCATCCTAATTCATGAAGTAAATTTTTGCCTTACTAATACTTGAAAGTTCTCAAATTTCTAGTCTAATTTCTTATTCAATGAATTGTTTCGCTGACTGCTATGCAAGCACTTTGAAGTCGTTTATTCAACTCTTCAAAATCTTAGCCAAGATCATGAATCCTCCCCTTCCACGAAGATAATGAACTGAATGCGGGGGACACATGTTCCAAAGACAATATATCTGTATTTTAATTTCTAGGAAGTATATTTATAAAAATAGGAGAATGCCTCCTCATCGTGATGTCTCATTTCAGCTATTCTTACTTAAGGCTTTCAGAGGTGGCAACAAAAATTCTCCAACTTTTGGCTAAAAAATTATATCATTTCAACCTTTCTCGCCTTATTTCTTTACTTTAGTGATTCGATCAGGAGCTGTTGGGAAACAGCATGTGTTCGAAGGATGAGGGTTAACGAAATAATAACCTATGCTTTGCCACGTTTTATCTTTCCGTACAGAGACTACGATCAGTTTTAAGAAGGCATTTCTTTGAAATGCTCTTTTTTCATGGCAGGCTGAAACTGAGTTTTCAAAAAATTCGAAAGATAAACAACCTGCAGCTTACAAATTATGTGTTTACTTCACAAAAAAATAAAGATATGACTCTTAACTCCGTAAGTCCTCTAATGTGAACTATTTCGGAAGTTTATTATTCGGTGAAAACAATGCTATATTAAAAGAGAGGAAACATTTGTACGTCTCGGATATTGCTAAGGAAGAAAATTGCCAGCATAATGGTTAGTGATCCTGGCTGCAGTACTGACGATCCTGGATTCGAATCCTAAAGAAGGCACAGATGTTTATAAGCATATAATGTCTGTGTGGCAAGGAGGCCCTCAAAATATACGGCGAACCGATTGCCCCTCAGGATGTTCTCCCTCATATTTGGGGAAGCTTAATAGTTAGCAAAGCCTGGCGGTATCTAATATGCCTAGTAAATGCACAGGTGCTGCCCTTGCTTCAACCTGCACCTATAAAACTTTTGTGCCGTAATCACTGCATTAAATGCATACCTTTGTGTTAAAAAATTTTTATGAGTTATGTCCTAAAACGTTGGACTTTTTTACAGTTGTTAAATAGAAAGAAAAAAGTTACTAAATATGATTTGTCACATTATTTGCATTTCGATTCAAAAATAAATTGCTTTAACCCCTCTATAGACATTTCATTTAGTTCATTGAAATGTATATTTTTTGTATGACAAAAATGAAAGTCTAATACTCAATTCAGAGTGATAATTTTTGAAGTTTTGACATATCAATGAATAGTAATAAAGATGGTATTATTAAGGGATAATACACAAGGAATATGTTCCTGAGGGACAGACCGTGAACTCCATAATTTATAAAGAAGTAACAGAGAGACTTCTGAAGAAAATTCAAGTCGTTAGGCTTGAAAAACATCAATCGAATAACTCATTTCTGCTCCAAGACAATATGCCATCATTCAGTTCCGTTCTTGTCAAATAGTTTTTAGCAAAGATATGTTACAATTCAGCCATCCTCTTGGTCCCCGGAGTTGGCACTAGTAGTTTACTTTCTCTTTCCTAAAGTTAAGTTACTCACTTCAAAGATAATTTTTTTTAAAATATACCATTAATGAACTATTGAAGGAAAATCACTGGAAACCATTGAAAATATTCAGTAACTACATATTTACACACTTAGTGTTGTTGCTGTGACTAATCTCGCTCGTTCGATATCAAAACAAATACGCAAGATTGCGCATGTCGTTGATAAAAGCCTTGAACACCATCAGATGACAGTGCGCCTTTGCTAAATTTTACCTCCCTTCCCCGAAGGAAAGCACCCCAGGGGAGGGGTCCAAGGGTCTCCCTCTTCCCTTACCATCAACCTCTCAAGAGAACTTTCGGTCTCTGCATAAGCGTACCGCTGCATAAACATATCAAGTGTCGTAAAGACTTAAAAAGACCATATATTAAAAACTAAGAAACTGGAACTGTGTTTCTTCAAATTTCGATCTTGTAGGTACTTAGTTTTAAAACTTGTACATGCAATATAAAAAAGAGAAAAGACTCACCAAGAATTATGCTGTTGAAAATTCACTAGTGCATTCTTTTCAATCATTGATGCTCTGGAATAAAGTCACATCCGATATCAACTTAGAGCAGTTAGACAGAATTATTCCCGACCTTCTAAAAAAGGGTTCTTTGACAAAAAGAAAGATTTTCTTTTCCTAGAAGATCGATCTCCAGCTTTTTGTTTGTTTGTTTGCTTCTGTAATGTGGCTGCATAACGCGTAACACCAGGTAAATAATTTTTTGGCTAACAGCTCACCCATTTTATTTCCTATTTTATTATGCTATTGATTCTTACATTGTCGACTGAGCAAGATATTAAAAAAAGCAAAGGATATGTATAGTCAAGCATAAGTTCACTCGATTTTAAAAAAAATAACGTTTTCAGCAGTAGGTACAGGGATATTTTATACTTTTTGAACAGATTTTTGTTGCAAAAGCAGGCTATAGTGAGCTACTAATATTTATAAAACACGTTTCCTAACCCGAAGAAGAAAGCTTTTTCTACCATTTTTAACCAGTTAACTGTGATTGACGAGTATACTCGTCATGCGTATAAAGCAGTGTAAGCAACGCGCGTATAAAGCAACGTAATAGAAACAGAGAAAAGAAAAATAATATAACAAAGAAACCGGAGCTAGTGATTGATTATAATAAAAAAATGGGTGGAGTGGATATGAGCGATGGAATTATCATAGCGTACTCCACAGCAAGAAAATGACTCAAAAAGTACTAAAACGACTCAAAAAAATATTTCTCCATTTCTTAGACAGTATGTTTCTGAATGCATTCATATCATATAAAAAAAAGTAATGGAACATTATCGCGTATCAACTTTTTGCTCAAAATTTATTGATGACATTTTTGCGACGTATCCAACTGAAAGAAATAAATCGACACAAACTCGGCCATTTGGGCCCAATATAAGCCAATTAGGTGGGAATCATGTCCCGGATTATATACCTGGAACATTAAAAAAAAAAAAAAAAAAAAAAAAAAAAAACCTACGCGAAGGTGTTCGCATTGCTACAAACGTAAGATCAGGAAGGAATCGCGTTACTGGTGTTCGATTTGCAAAGTCCCATTGTGTGTCCCCTGTTTCGTCGAATATCACTCCACAGCAGGAATTTAATTTCTTACTTTTATGTATGCATAATATTTAATTTAATTTATTGCCTTTTTAGTTTAATATGTATGTAATATATGCTTGTGTTAACCAAATAAGTAAATATTAGTAATATAATTTTCAATTTTATAAAATAAACTCATCTTTTCATCCAAAATCTTACCGGCGCAACTTACTCTGTGATTGGCGAATATATTCGTCATGGCTCGATTCTGGCGATACAAAACGGTGCGCACTCTTAAACGAGAGCGTCACAGCTAACTGGTTAAAATAATGTCTAGGCTATGCGTATATTTATTAGCGTAAGTAATGTTTCTTTTCCCATTTAAATATTTCCCGAACAGTGAACTATAAAGAAAGCGGAAAATAAATAAGTTGCTAGCCTTTACCTTTTAGCAATTCCAAGAAAGGGGATTTTGATTAGTAACATTTAAAAAAAATTTTATCGGATACATTTTCCTAATATAAATCATAGACGCATTTCTTGTAAATAATTCGGATGTTATAAAATTTGTAATTTAGATTAAAATTATCGTCACACGAAGATGGGAGGAAAAGAGAATATTTTGCATAGCGAAATAGCATAACTCAAACAAACAGACATTATATAGAAAAGTTCAGCTAATTAACTATAATTTGAAAGTTAATTAAATTTAGTTGAAATAATGCTTAATGACTACAAAAGCTTTAAAATCTTCCCTTCCCTTCTGTATACCTTTTTCTTTGTTGCGATTATTTAAAATTAATATTTTTTTGCACAAGCTGTTTGATATTAAACAAAACTAATTTTTGAATTTTTCTTATATTTATGAAGGAGCTTAAGCTGAAGAATGGAATAAAATACGGGGGAACATTTCGATATGCTAACGGTAAGTGGTTTTTAATTGTTTGTTTTCGAATTTAATAATGTTAACTTTGCTGTGTTTAGAATTATTTCATTTTAAAAACTGATATTGTTTAAATTTTGTCTAATCTTTAGTGTTGCTTAAATTTCTACATACATCCTGAAAAAGTCTTCATAAAATAATTTTACTTGTATGGAGTCAAATTCGTTTAAATTTTGCAAAACAGTACAGCTATCTTTTTCGCCATAAACTCAAGGTATGGTTTGGTTTATTTGATTATGGCAAAGCACACTAGGGCTATCTGCCTAAGGTGAGGCAGACAGCCTTCGTGGAGTACTTTCTATGGGAAACTGGCTCGCATACCCATGAGGAAAACCACGAAAACGTCCAAGTAGCCAGCCCATTCGCCCAAAAATGAACCCAGGTAGGAACCATCAATGTTCAGAGATTTTACCGCCCAGTTACTCGAATGATTAAAACCGTTGAATTTCGCCTGCTTCAAAAGTTTTGCACGCGAAGCATGAAAGTAGTTGGCTCATAAACAAAACTCATGTGTTGTTTAAATATAACTGGTTCACCATTTCAGAAAAGTTCTTTAAGAAAGGGAACTTTTGAGAAGTTCGTTAATTCAAGATAAAGTATTCCTTCAATCGATTTTTTATTTAACACTTTTCTGGATAAACAAACAAAAAAAAAAAAATCTATTCCTAAATCACAAATAACGTTCATTTAAAAAAAAAAAAAAAAAAAAAAAAAAAAAAAAAAAAAAAAAAAAATCTTAAAGCTTTTAGATTTTACATTCCGCCCAAGGGAGCACTTTTTTAACGTTTTGTAAGTTCCCTTTATTTATGACATATCATGTCCTTCGCGCTTAAACCATAAAATTCAGTTCAACAGCAATATCGCAAAATAATTTTAAAATTACCATATCTTTTTAATTTCCAATAGACAGTGTCGCGCCGCGCGCTGGAGATAAAAAAAAGTCCCCCCCCCCCGTGTTTCCATTGCTCGCTTTGAAATCATTGAGTTTGTTAATCAAAAAATTCGTCAAAGTGTACAAGATATCAAATCTATAATAAAGCAAATTTCAAATTCCAAATTAGGGCTTTCAAATGCCCGTATTCGCTGGAAGATTACGTTATTCAAAATTTGATGGCTCTAGGTACCGTTGTTTTATCAAAATGCGATAAACATACATACATTTATGCAGATTCTTCATTATTTAATTTCTTTAAATATAATACAGGGCTGTAATATTTGCTGGCAACAGTTTGAAAAGTGAACCGTCGTTTACAGGTTTCAACGCAAAATGCCAAAACAAAATTAATAGCCCTTTTGAGCTAACGCCGTTTTGGCTTAAAAAAAAAAAAAAAAAAAAAAAAAAAAAAAAAAAAAAAAAAATCTCAATATGAGACGTGCATTAGGCATAATATTTCTACGTTACAAAAAATTGATAAATTAATATGTTCTTTTTTTTAAGAACTCAAAATGTGAGGAAGCTTTATTGCATTACAGTCAGCATTTGCTTTTTAATAACATCCTAACAAACGTGAGTAACACCCAGCTTAGCTTAATTCAGTTTGATATAAGTAACGTTCTTTTATGCAGTTTCAAAGTTCTTTTATGTACACTAAAGTTGTTTGCATAATTTAGCATGGCAAGAATAAAAGCAATATTATGTTTAGTTTTACGATCTACAGAAATAAAAATTTAATGAGTTTTATTTTATTTTCAATAAAAATATGTGAGTGAAAGCAAGAACATATGTGAATAATTAAAATGAAGAATAATTTAATTTTCAATTATTGTTGAAAACCTACCTGTGGTAGATCGGATAAGCCCCCTAAACGCTGGTAGTTCGATCTGGATTCAAATTCCAGTGCACGGGCTGGCTGCATTTGCGTTTACATGGTTTTCTCTGTGTGTAAGCAGAGAGTCCTCCACAAAGACATTTCCTTACGTAAAGAGACTAGTGTGTTTTGGTAAAATGAAATAATCCAGTCTGATCCATTATAGTTGAAAGTGTATTTTAATGGAAATAAAATTTTTTATCTTTATTGAGTTAAAATGGAGCGACAGGTAAACACAAAATCCGCTTATTAGTATTATAGTAAATGTAAATTGGACTTACAAAAAAGGCAATAGGTTTATATATTTTTTTTAATATTCGGATGGCAATATGGTCACAATTAGTCGTATAATTGGGGTTTTACGATATTGCTATAACCATTATCAGTGTACCTTTTATTCTATTTCTGTTCTCTAATCCACAAATAAAATAAGCGGTTGAATTCTTTAATTTCTAGCAGACATATCTTTGTTTATCACAGACCCCTGCGCTGTAGGAGAAAAAAAAAAAAAAAAAAAAAAAATGGTGTGTCAGCAGCGCGGGGCAGACAGTATTTACAAATGGAACATTCAACGAAAGTGAGTTCTTTATCCCGCGCCCCGTCAACTGCCGTTGGAGCGGAGTGATTTAGGAGACCTAATTCTCTCAACACCCCATAAACTAAGAAATCTTGGATCAGAGATCTTAATCAATTCTCAACGACATTTTAAAAGCTTTAACGAGAGGGGCAGGGGGGATTGCCTGTATCAGTGTGAAGCTTCTGCTGAAAAAGTTGTCACTATTCTACGTAAAAAAAAAAAAAAAAAAAAAAAAAAATCAAAATTACAAGAGAAAAACACTGATTGTACTGCTCAAGAAGGGATACTTTCCGGAAAAAGTTTTAGTAATTTTTAAGAACTATCATTGCTGACCTGGATTGCGAAGTCAGAATTCCCCCTCTCCCAGACAAAACCTTTTCACGGTATTATTCTTTTATATGCTCGGTTAGGCTTTCCTCGATTCGGCAAATACTGGAATCAGTCAGTCTAACTTAAACAATATCAATCACGATACCACAGGTTTCTTATGGCGCTCTCCCGCCCCTTTCAAAAGAATAATATTGTTAATGAAATTAAGCATATATATTTAGAACTACGAGAGAAGCATATTTTGAATTTACATTGGATCAAAGCTCACGCTGGTCATTATGGCAACGAGAGAGCGGATGCTCTAGCGAAAGAAGCCTCCCTGCGGGTTGGGATCGAAAAGGTTTTTATTCCAGATTCGAAAAAGAAGATATGTACTATAATGTATGACAAGCTTATTAGAGACTGGAAAAATTTATGGGATCTCTCTGAAAGAAACAAAAACTATCTAAAATGTTTAAAAATTAGCAAAAAAAGGGGGAATTTGAGGAGATGGAGATGTCAATCAAATTCTCACTGCACACGGAAGGTTCCCTGCTTACTTAAAAAGGTTCCACCTCCAGGAAAATGATATATGTAAAGTTTGTAATAAATTCGGCGATTCAAAGCATTTCATCGAGGACTGTTGCCTGACTGGAAGTGTGAGAGAAAATATAAATTTGCGAAGTTTGAGGATTTATTTAAGAAAATTTTCAAGAGATATTATGCAAACTGTGAATGAGAAGAATATTGGTATCGAGATATAACAAAGCAGAAAATCATACTGAAAACAGAAATAAGTGAGGTAACTTACAAATTTAAGATGAATTTTGATAATATAAAGAAGATTTGAATAATAATAACTAATTGAAAGTAAAACTTATAAAGTTTTTAAACTTAGGAAAAAACACAGAAATGGACTCATTATATACTCATTTATATACTAGTTCACCGAGAGTGTTTGAAATATATGTATCTACTTTATTTTTTTTTTTTTTTTTTTTTTTTTTTCTTTTTCTGTTATGCCTTTGTGGCTTGGCCTATCCCCTCATAGCCATATGGCAGGTTTCGCCTGCTAGGTGGGCTGGGGCCAGTGCTCAGAACTAACTAACCAACCACAGGTACTGATACCACAGTGCATGCTACAATGTACTCCCGATTATCTCGACAAATCCTCAGGTCATGTATAATTAAAAAACACGAATCCACTTTATATTATTTATAACTCTATTTTGTGTTTCTTTTCAGTGAAGTTTTAAATGGGATACTACTATTTTATGTTTTTTTACAAAATGATTCTAAATAATGATCATGTTTACATTTACAGGAATGCGGCAACCGGATAGCTTTGTTGTTAGGCTTGTAGACTCCGCAAGTGGACAGGTAAGATTTTTTTTTTTTTTTTTTTCAAATTTTAAATCTAGATGATATATTATAACTTGTACATAAAATCAAGAAGAAAGAAAAAAAATTCAGATTTTTTATCACGCCCAAAGGGGCTTGTTTTTAACATTCTGCGTGTTACCTTTATTTAATAAATATGTTTTTCGCACTTACCGTAAAATTAAATTCAACAACAATATCACAAAATAATTTAAAAAGAGCATATCTTTAGAGTTTCCGGTACACAGTCTCGCGCGCCAGAGACTTTTTTTTTTAATATATATATAGAGAGAGAGAGAAAGGGGGGGCCTGAATATTGCCGACTTGTTTTTGCGCGGATGTTTTGCGAAGCAAATGCTTCGGTCTAGATGGTGGAAAGGCCCTTGTGGTTGCGAGAAGGCCCTGAAAACCGGCCCACTGGTGAGATTATTTGTTTGCATGAAGAAGTAGAATTGGAGTGGAAAAAGATAAAAGTAGTAAATATTGAGCTGTTAGAAGACGCCCTCCCTTGGCATCGAATCAGTGTATCCAATTATGATAAAATTATAAGAATATTTGCATGGATATTTAGATTTGTAAATAATTGTAAAGATGGTTCTGAAAAGAATAGAAACATTGAACTTTCACAGTATGAAATTGAAAATTCTGCGAAAATTGTAATTCGTTTGGTTCAAAATTATTATCTGACTGATAAGAAAATCTTATAATTTTATTGAAACGCTCATTGATGATGATGGTATTCTGAGAGTTAAAACGAGAATATTAAATAGAGGTCACCATGAATCTTTTCTGCATCCAATACTGTTGCCAGAAAAATGTGATTTCGCTAAGTTATTAATCAGAAATGTACGTAATAAGAACTGTCATGCTGGTCTTCAGATGATGCAATGTATATTACGAAAAAGATTTTGGATAGTCAGAGCTAGAAAGACCATTAAAAATATCCTCTTTAACTTATCGTTTGTAAAAGATTTAACACTAAGGCTATGTCAAGCGAACCGATACTTCTGCCACCAGACCGAGTTACGGATTGTGCGCCGTTTGAAATCATAGGGATTGATTTGGCCGGACCCCTGTTTTTAAAAATGGAGGAAAAGTGTGAATCGCGCTGTTCACGTGCGTTGTGTACCGTGCCATTCACCTTGAACTTGTAAATTCTCTTTCTACTGATGCGTTTGGCGCTTCGACGATTTTGCTAGGCGCGAATAATCTATAGTGATAACGGGACAAATTTTCGGAGTGTATCTAATGATTTATCAAAACTAAATTGGGCTAAAGTATTACAAGGAAACGGAAACTTAAAGGATACACTGAAAATTTTTCCACCTACTGCAGCTTGGTGAGGCGGCTGGTGGGAGAGGTTGGTTCGTACAGTAAAAGAATTGCTCAAACGTACTTTAGGTAAATCTGTGTTATCATATGAAGAACTTTATACTATTATTTGTGATTGTGAAACTATAATTAATTGTAAATCCTTGACGTGTGTTTCTGAAGATCCGCAGGAATTTGTCCCTCTGCCACCCGCCATGTTTCTTATCGAGAAGAGAAATTCCCATGTTGAAGATCTTGATGAATTAAATTCGTCAAGTCTTAATAAGAACTAAATTGTTAAATGATCTGCGACGCTTTAGAAAAGAATACCTTAGTCAACTGGTTCAAAAGCATAATGAAAAACGATCTCGGGAACCTGTAGTTGGAGAAATAGATGGATTGATAGACTAGATTTATATAATAGAGAAAAGATGGATTGATAGACTAGATTTATATAATAGAGAAAAGATGGATTGATAGAAATGGGAGGGGGTGATAATAAAAAACGTTTATTTTGCCCGAATTACAGAATTGATCCCTGGACGTGAAGGAAAGATTCGCACGGTTAAACTTAAGACCCAGCATGGAACAGTTGTACGACCAATATAACGCATCTTTCCTCTGGAGATATCGGCCAATGATAGAAACATAATTCCTGATATGAAACTGGGTGCAGAGGAATCTAATACTTTTAAATAATGTTTGTTATGAGCTTGTCATAAAAAACGCCTGAGTCTCAAGGCGGGGAGGATGTTGCGAAATGAACTGAAGTAATAACTGGCGCGATGCGCTGCTGTTCAGGACGTCAGCCTGCGTGCTGAATATTTCGAATGTTGTCCCTGTAAACAGAACTGAAAACTGATCTCGGAAGCGTAAAAGACTGTTATGATGAAAATAAAGAAGTGTTGGCTTATTAAGATTTGTCTTTATTTATAATATGCACCCAGCCTCGGGTAGAGGCAGTCCGTAATTGAGTGAACTGTTTTGAATATATTTTATTTATATATTTTCTGTGTTCTCCGTAACATCTGAAATACGCGTCGCGTATGCTTCTAATTACGCAACGAAAGAAGGAGGAAACTACCTTATAACTTTATAAAAAGTAAAACAAATAAAATATTTATTTTTGCACCCGATTAAAATTCCCTGTAAACTAGCAATTTTAAACAAAAATTCACGGGCTTTGATTCTATAGCAATCTAAAAGTGTCAGCTGTCAAATCTTAAGAGGGAAAAAAAAAATCTATGAGATTGACAGAAGGATAACAAAACGAACATAACGTTTTCGAACGTTTCGAAGATTTTCGCCTTTCTTTCTGCTTTCTACAAATCTTAATGGCCTTTACCTTTTCTGTACAGTTTTGAAGTTCAGCCTTAGCATGGTATATAACAATTTAAATGTATTAACTATCAGATTATCAAGCACAATCATTTTAGTGAAAATTCAGATTTGCTTTACTAGCACTCCTTTATTATTTGGATAACATGTTTTGTGATTATTCAGAATATTCTTCCGAGTACAGAAATTAATATCTCAATGATAATTTTTGAATCCGTCACCATTCAGCATGATATCATGTATCATTAAGTATGTGATCTGGAAAAATTGTCCATACTTAAAAATTTGAAAGCTGTGCCGAATCTCCCTGTAAACATTACATGTACAAGTATAATAATTATATTATGCCTTTTACAATTCAGTTTTAAATTTTAAAACTGTTCTATTTCTTTTTTGGGATCCATCAAAATAATTGGACCAGTGTAGAAATTCTTTGGGAAAACTCAGTTAAACGTAAGTTAAATACTGCGGTTTTTTAATTGCAATTTAAGTTTAATTCTTGCAAAGTTAATGAGCGTTTGGAGAAAAGTTTTGTCGTATTTGCTCGATAATGCCTGCGCTACTAGTTGACCACATCAGTGTTGAGAGGCATTTGGAAGTTGAATAAGAAACTTCTGGCAGTTTGATTGATTAAACAATTAGACCAACTGTGTATTAACTTTTATATTAGCATAACCTTTAAATTTGCTGCTCTATATCTTAAGTTCAAGTACAAGGGGTGGTTCTAACAAACTTTTTGTGGTTACTATTTAGTTCTTTCTGTTTCATTTTCACGCTTTATTTGTATGCAAGCGGTAATTCATGTAAGCGGTAATACGTCGATAGACATTCACCTACATCTTATTTTATTCTCTATAAATATGTATTTAAAGAATTTTTGTTGTTTGACTAGAAAAGAAGAGAGAGAAAATAAATAGGAGCCATGTGATTTTTCTGAAATTGGTACAGCTGCTTCATTGGAGGCTTAAAAAAAAAAAAGAATCTTTAAAATGGTTAAATAAAAGTCGAATTTGTTTTCCGGTCGTTGAAATGAAAGACGTTGCGAGATCAGTATCTCATTATAGTATTATAACAATGGTTCTAAATTTGATTTAAATTGACTGTTATTGTTTTAATATTTCTTATATGAATTTTTACAAATCAACCTTTCACGAAATCATCAAAATATGAAAATTGTTTTGCGAATTTTCTCTCCTGAAAGGTAAGCAACTTTACAAAACGGACATTTTTGTTTCTTTGTATTCTAACAAAAAATTTTCTTTTTACAGCCTGTTCCTTACGAAGGTCAAGATGGAGATCCCAAAATGCAAATGGTTTTGTTGACGCATGAAGTTACGTGCGCGTAAGTTTCTTATAAGTACTTAATATCTCATTTTCTTTATTTTCTTTACTTCTACAGTCAACCTAGTAATCAAGAAAATCCGAAAACAGAGGGTTTCGCTTTTTTTTAATTCTAATCAACTCTCTCCCAGTTTAACATAATTTAGAACAATTATTACGTATGGGGAGATATGAAAATAAGCAGCATTTCTTTTCACATTTCTATAATTATAAGACAATCGAAAACCAAATAGTATTATAAAAACTAGAAAGCATTACAAATAATATCATAATATAATTTTTATTAAGTTGACGTAAAATACTATTATTAATAACTATTTCTATATATATTCTTATAGTTATAGTTCAGGAATTTATCTTGCATTTCCGTTTAATAAAAGATCTTGAAATCACTTGTGCATTTGAGACGTGTTCATACGCGGATATGCATATCTAAGCCAGTGATGTAATGTATCTAAAATTGAAATTTTCTTGAAATACAGACAGAAAGCAGATTCGACACCAAACCTTTTTTTTATACTGCCATTCTGTTAATACGTTTTACATAAGCTTTCTTTCAGTTTGAACTCATTTCTTATTTTTGAATATTTCAGGCGTTGTTCTCAGAAGAAAAGTTGTGGAAATAAAAACGAGACACCGTCGGATCCGGTCATTTGTAATAAGTGAGTATAGTTGCGATTGCTTTATGTTTGTTATAAATTCAAATATTAATTACTTTGCGAAACGAAGACCTATTTGTACAAATTAAATGAATGTATTTAAATTATATAACTGTTGCACAGAACAAAAGAAAATTTTCAGCAAAAGCACAAACTGATTTATACAAATTACGGTATCGTTTCAAAGTATCTGATACCATTGATTTTATTCTCTTTTGAACAATAATCTTTTCTTTGTAATTCTAAGCTTTTATCAATTTAATTATATATATATGTTTAAATAACTATGATTTTTTAATAATCATTTATGAATGTCGGTTATAATTGCTAACAACAGAGCCGGGGCAAGTGAGGCACTTGCCTCACCTTTGTCCCTTGTCTCACCTCATATATATATAAAAAAGAGAACAAACTAAAAAAGACCTTTATATATGTCATAATAAAAGCACAAGGAAATGAAGGAACACTGTAGATGCGTGATTAGATCCATATTGAAGAATTTTGATTGCGTAGTATTTAAAGAACTTGGCAGTCGAAGCAGTTTTAATTCCATTTTTATTTCCAATTGATATTTGTGACCACAATCACTTGGCACTCTAGTCGTGCCTTTCCACAGAAGATTTACATTTTTGATATTGTTGAGATAGAAAGCAAGCCAGCGAAATTACATCTTAGCACAGTAGAGAGCAAAAGCTGAAGTGCGTAGTTATGCAAGATGGAAGCACGCGAAGAGAAAAGTTTTGGTTTGCAATTCGGTGATTGGTCGTCAAGAGGCATCTGGTATTAACGGTTACGTAAGATCGCATGATTAATTTGAATGACGCAATGCAGATAAGTTATTACGATTTTAGAATAGAGAGGAAGAATTAATGTTTATAGTTATATTATAATTCTAGAAGTTTGCTTTCACATTTTGTATCTTACACATATATATATATTTAATTAAAGAAAAAGAAAGACAGAACTAAAAAAGAAAAAAAAAAGACCTTTGTGGTCAAGAACTTTTTCGCATTGAGCTGCAAAATTTAGAAAACGAAGTTAAAAGAAATATTCTTAAGTGCTTACCGCTTAAAATGTAGGTTGTGATACTGTGGTTCCGGTAGAAAAAGTTTTTTAACAGAAGTAAAATAAAGTGCAATGAAAAGTGTAATTACAAAATAAACGAAATAATCACTAGAATACTGACAACTTTAAAGCGTAAATTTAAAATTCAAAAACTAAATTGCAAGTAATATAGTTAAGATCAAGGTTTAAAGCAAACTTTGAATAACAATAGAATAAAATTGTGACATCTAGAAGGACTTAAGCAAAAAATACAATAAAACTAAAAAAGCGGTAAATGGTAGATTATTAGCCCATTCGAATCTCATTACTGACTCTTCAGGGAAAATTTATAATGATTTTCGAATCCAGCTAATTCCATATCGCGTTTCGTCGAAACAGACAATTGAAACTTTATATGAAACTCTTTTTGAATATTAACTCAAAAAAACTTAGTCATAAACTTAGTCTCAATTCTCTGTTCCATTTCTCGACGCGTCCGCTTGAAAAAACACATTAAGGTGTAATAGAAAACTATACATAATGGCCTGGTTATGCCAATCTACAAAATAAAATAAACAGTGATTTGCTATTAGTCAAAAATACAAGATTTTTAGGGAGGACTAGCTTATAGAGTTTAAACATTGTGAACGTAGCTAAAAAAATTAAAATTAAAATAAAAAGCGAAGAAGACTATAAAAATATTGAAAGGGTCTTGCTATGACCCTTTCAATATTTTTATATATTTATGAGAAAGGAAAAAAATTTTAAAACAGACCTGGAACGTCCGCATTTACTTTTTTGCCTCAGGTGAAGAAAATATCTTGGCACGGCTCTGGTTAACAATATTATTAAACTAGCAAGTTATGGTATATTTACTTCTCATTTAATGTATGTGAAATGGAACGGATAAATATGAAAAATATTACTGGAAATAAAACTGATTATTTTAATTATTTAAAATACATTTAACATTTGCCATTATTTTGGGTTACCTTAATAGTATAAATCATCTTAAATTGCTAAATTTTCAGATTAAGAAATAGCGTCATGATTTTCATACAATATACGTTACCGCTAAAGTGCGGAAATCAGTTATTCTGCAGATTATCTAATTATCTGCAGATAATTTATTCTGCAGATTATCTAATTATCTGCAGATTAACTAGGGTTAACGTTAAAGTGCGGAAAATTCTTTCATTTTTCAAATTACCTAGGTAATCTGCGGATTACCTACTAGGCATTCGTCAAAGTAAAAATAAGATATTTGCTGGAACAACAGCAACGTTACTGCATCATGTTATTTATTTATGTTTCGGTATCTAAAAAATCGAGTTAATATAATCAAACAATCAACATATTAGCTGATAGAAGCAATCATCAATCAATTAAAAAAACACAATACAAAGAAGAAAACGGTTTAAAATATTATTGCAATTAAGAAAAATAACATAAGATTATTTACTTATTTTTAGATATCTAAAGTATAGAGTTAATACAATCAAACAAACAAGTTAATACAAGTGATTGAATCAATTATCAATCAATTAAATGTGAATTTCCCGGAATGCGAACCCGGACATAACCATTAGTGGTATGCGACTTTACCGCTCGGCCGCTCTTGGGTTAAAGTACTGCTTCGAAGTGGTTGCGTTAATGTGTGCTTACCAATCAAGGTGATTATACGCAAGATAAATCAGTTTGTGCTTCTTGATTTTTATATTACTAAAAACAAATCCTTATTTTTGTTTACGAAATTTTATAATGTAGAAAATGTTTATACTTAAGGTGAGCAGAATTTTGACACTATTAAAAGTATTATACAGTTGAATTATTTTTCTGTATTGCAAAAGAAAGATACTATAGAAATGTTTTGAAATGTAGAAATTTCTCTTATATTGCTAGAAAAAAAATTTGAGGTTGCAGCATAAATTAACAAGATAAAAACCTTTCGTATGATATATACGAAATTGATATAAAGATAAAAACTAAAGATACGAAAGATAAAAACCTTTCATATGATATAATTCCCTACGCCTCCCCCCTCCGAAAAAAAATTAAAGAAATTGCTTTTAAACAAAGCTTATTTAACTCCGTTAATGTACCGTCAATATAGCTCCAAATCACTTGTAGATCAGCACTGCCTCCAAAATATCACTTTCAACTTTATAACCCCTCTTGGTTCCGTAACACAGCTATCACTGTTATAAATTATTCAGCCACCTGACTGTTCTCGTAAAGCGGATATTGTAGTACTGGAAAACAGCAGTGAAAGAAAAAAAAAGGGTATTACGCCTGATTTTTGACTTGTACTAGCACTGGAAGTAGAATGAAAGAACGAAAGGGAAACTACATGCCATCTGTGCGCTTTTCGCTGTTCTTCCGCACCCCTAGATTGGGAGAGAGGTGTATCCTCCCCCCAAAGTGCGGATAGATGAAGTATTACAAATCGATTGAATCACCCTCTTTGTGATCCTGATGTGATTCTTTTGTTCGAAATGCGAATAGCCCTTCTGTTGTGAATTTTGGTCAACTCGAGTCTTCAGTGATGGTTTAATCAAGTGCGCCCTCGAAAAGGGAAACAGTAAATCGAATGTTTTGTCGAAGGTGTTCGATGATAAGAATGTTCGAAACTTCAGTTTAATCAACATTATGCAGCAGTTGATGTATATCATTTGGAATAAAGTTGCTTAATCCTCCAACTTTAATTTTGGCGTATTTAAAATTTCGAACTCCTTTTCTTTGACTCAGTAAGAATTTATTATTCAAAATTATTAAATGAAAAATTAAGGAAATTTTATTTTTTCAGAATCAATAGTTTAACGATGAAATGTTGCATGGAGTGAACAATTAAGTTTGGAGATCTGTACTTAGGATTACTACATTAATTGTTTCAATTACGATTTACTGAGTTAATTTCATTTTTTTGTTTTTAATAAAGTTTGACCAAAATTTAAACTTATATTTTTTGTCCGTTAAGAGATCATGGAAATATGTCTCATAAAGAAATAGTATTTTTAATATTTTCGTTTATTTTTATAATGAAATATATACATATGCTGGCTATCTCAGTTTTTCGGAGTGGAGAAGAAGGAGCTAGCGTATGTCAAGCTGCCAACCTATAAATACACTTTTTTTAAGCTTTTTAAGTCATTTTAATCATGCATTACACATTACTTTCGAGTATGTGAGATACCTGAGTAATAGTCCTTTACACACAAAAATGCAATTAAAATTGTCTATCTTTAAACTTAAAACAAGACACAATAGAAGTTAATGCAAGTAGAATATAAGTTTTGATTATAGGAAATGATCATAAAAGCTATTTGTTTAAAAGCGGTTGTTGCTTATCTTGAAAAATTCAATTAAGTACCAAATAATATAATTTAAGTCATTGGGACTATGCCTGCAACTAGGTGTAACGAATGGCAAATCCTTGAATAGACGTGTAAGAAACCTATTGCTATATCTAAAACGAAACAGAACTTAAGAAGGGTGTAAAAAACATCTCTATTCAGAATTCAAAATAATTTAACAGGTAGCACTTCTTGTGCTTGCAAACCAGCCAGCAGTTATGGCGTAACTCAAAAGTAATAAATTCAAATTAAAACTAAATTAAAGGCTAAGTTAATAACGCGCAAGTTGGCTCGCCGGCGGGACAAGCACTATTGCCAAGATTTAAACGCAGCACCGAAGGCAAACTCCTGTTGAAAAACTGCAACTAATAACGTGGCCTTTAGTAGGCGGAAACACTCTGATAAACAATCTAAAACCTTCCTTTAAATATTACCTCTTTCTACCTCATCTGAATATGCGTGAACTAAAATTAGCATTCTGGCAGGAAAACGGAAAGGAAGAAGGACAGTAAAGCTACTTAGCATAAAATTACTGGTTAGGTAAAATAAATAAGTACTTTACAAAGTGTTAATAAGTAATTATATATATCCAGAGCAATGTCTTTTCCTT